TGCCCCAGATGAAGCCGAAAGCCGGCACCGAGATCAGGTTCACGGAGCTGCCGAAGCAGATGTACCCCGATGGTGCAACTCCGGAGGAGATAACCAGGCACAGCATGGACCTCAGCTATGCTCTGGAGAAGGTGATTAACCAGCGATACGCCAGCCAGCCTCTGGATCTACTTGGTGAGTACCGCCTGTTGCTCAGTAGAGTCCTCAGGTGCTTTGGGAGAATAATGTCGTTTCTCTGTAAAGAGACCCAGGATGAAACCTGCACCTGTTCTGTGGGCCCTGTTCCCTGGTGCCCTGAAGTATCTCTCTTAGTTGCAGGACAGAAGTTTGTGGAGTTTTTAGCAGCTATAGGGCCTGTTCCAGTTGCACTGGTGTGAGGACATGGTGCTCCCTGTCCAGAGCTGCCAGCGTGCCACATTTGCCTCTCTCGCTCCTGGATGCTGCTCTTGGAGCCCAGATTGCCTCAAAAGAAGTCAAAAGCAGCGATTGCAGGTGGCTGCGAGCTGCATTTCATGCAAAGAGGGCCTGTCATCTGGCACCAGCCTGGCAATTTGCCTGTTAAGTGAACCTCTTGAGGACGAGCTTATGGAGTCCTGGGAGCATTGAATGGGGCTAAACATCGTAATTTTCAGATTCTCGTTCCAGTTTTGTTGGGGAGGTGGTATCAGGTCTCCCAGCAGGCGATTCTCAAGGCAGGAGCCGGTCCCCTCCCTGGCTGGTGCAGTGGCAGCTCTGCTGTGTGCTGCTGGCGACTCTCTGGCTGCGTTTGGGATTTGCCAGCCCTGCTGCAGGAGACTTCCACAGCGGGGGCTGCAGCTCTCAGTCGCAGGGTCTCAGTTACTCGCCAGCCTTTTTTGACAACTTGTGTTATGAATAAATATCAAATCTGTGGAGATCCTGGAGTGTGAGGTTGTTCTGTGGCAGGATGGAGGGAGGGTTTGGGAACCTAGCGGAGCTGGAGCCTCGAGGCTACTGAGGTTTGGAATAAGCCTTTGTTTTTTCATCTTATGGGAAGAAGAATTCTACATTATACCATTTATGATTTATCAAAATTATCAAAGACAACTCTAGATACACAAAGAATTAATTACCTTAGGAAACAGTGACACCATCATTCTAGCAAAACAGGTGATGCCAAGCGTCCTGACTCTTAATGCAGCGAGGAAAAAACATCTGTTAATGTACTGCTCACCTCTTCCAGTGTTCCCACAGCCCTGCGTTCAAAGGCAGTAGCATTTGCACTCCTGTGTGGCTCTGGGAACCCAGGCACAGTCAGACTGAATGCTTGTAGAATAACTGCAACGTCTGACTTCTTATTTGGGTGTCATTTTGAGAACACAGATGACAGTAGAAGTCCTTAGGTGGCTGTTTATTCTGCCTGTAAAGTCAGTCTCCAGAGATGATAATTACAGTTACTAGTGGACCTGCCCAATGATGCTTTGCTTTTTCTCCAGGTGAAGAGCAGAGCATTAGGAAATAATCTGCGTTTGGAGTATTGATTGCTATTAGCAGAACCATTGGAAGGGCAGAATGCATGTGCAAAAGGCAAACCCAGAGTTTTATGCAATCGTTTACAGAGTTTTTCAGAGGACATGTACCTTGGATATGTTTTTAGTCTTACATGTGTTTTGTTTTGTTTTCCTTTGCTGAATATACACAGCTGAGTTGCAGTTTGCTTTCATCTGCTTCCTGATCGGGAATGTATATGATGCATTTGAGCACTGGAAAAGACTCTTAAACATCCTGTGCCGATCTGAAGATGCTGTAGGGAAGTATCAAGATCTTTACATCAATCTCATTTCTGTGCTGTATCACCAGCTCAGTGAAATCCCAGCTGATTTTTTTGTGGACATTGTGTCCCAGGACAACTTTTTAACCAGCACCTTACAGGTACGTTTGCGGCTCTCTCTTGAAAAATGGGCGTGGGAGAAGAGGACATACAGGACATCAGAGGGAATTTGGGGAGAAGCTGCAAAAAGAATTAAGCTACTGTTGAGCTGTGTGGGAGATAGTGAGCCTGTCTAAGCACATGCATATTTTGTTTCACTTTTTCCCTGTATTATTTACAAAGAAATGCCATTTGCTTGTCATCTCGGAGTTTGATCTACTCAAGCTATGCCTGGAAGAGTCTAATGTAGTATAAAATTGAGTTAGTCTGCATGCAGAGAGGCCAGCAAAGTGAGGCAACAGGAGGAAAGGCTAATGAAGATGGCTGCAACAGAGAATGGGGACTGTGTCTTTTTTTATTATGTTTTCCTTGCAAATAGTGCTGAAAGTAGCCTGCTATGTTGACATGGTTTTAGAGTTCTGGAGTAATGCATTTAATGTGACTCAACTGTACCAGCATACTTTTTCTAAAAACTTTTAAAGTCTTTTACTACATTGAGCTGAAAGCTATGAGAGAGGCTAAGCAAGTGCAAGATGAAGTCTGTTTGGCATTTGGGGAAAAAATAATTCATTCTTTAAAAACAAAAAAGTAAACTTTGACATAGAAGACCGATGATGCTGATTTTTGGTCAGCTTGCATGGTATGATTAGTATGCAGAGAAGTTGCAGTGAAAGCTTACTGAGCTTAGGTCATTGATAGTATTTAAGAAGCTTTTCCATTTCTGTTAGCCTTAAGCAAAGCTGAAGATTTCCTGTAATCAAGTTCTTATCCAGAGGGAATTTATGGTTAGTCCAAAATGAAGAAAACTACTTCTACTGAGACAGGCATGGGCAAATCTGTAATTCAGCACTAGTAAAACCAGTTACTCCCACTGATTGTAACCGTGCTAACAGTTTAGCAAACAGACTAAGCAAAACTTGGGTTAAAAAAAAAAAAAAAAAGCCAAAACCAGATACACTGGTGAAGCTCAGCAGTGGAAGCTTAATCCCAACAGAAACAGTAGTAAGTTAAGTTGCAGGTGTTTGATGTAAGTTGGTAGCACCTTCTCCTTTCTCAGGGGGTGGTTGCATTTCTCTACTTGTAACTCCAAGTTCTTGCTGTAGATTTGGGATGGGTGGAGGTGATTGCTTTTGATTTGCTGGGTAGAATGTTATGGGAAGCATTGCTTTAGTCAAGACTCACTTCACTCTTTTGGAATTTGGATTCATAAAAGTCTTGATTTTTAAAAAAAATTTATTTTATTTTTGTTGGTGTTTTTTTCCATCCCATTACAGGCCTGCAAAACCTAGCTTTATTTGCAGTACACTTGCAGAGCAACACTTTGCGCTGTCAGTTACAGCAGTACAAAGAATGTGTCAACCAGCCATTCTTTCCATCTGATGGGAATTTTGGAAGCACCCTGTCTTGCTGGTTATCTTTGCTTTTTTGGATACCCGAGTCTTGTACGCCCTTGGATTTCATCAGTCTCTGTTTTTTACTTAAGCAGTAGAAGCTGATGCCTTTAGGTGGCTGTGCTGGCTTCAGTGATCACTGTTAAGCCCTAGCAGGGGTCACCACATTCCTAGTAACAAAGAAGAAATTTGCCTTATGGTTGAACTGAGCCTTTTCTTGCTAAATTTCTCCATTTGTCTGCTCCTGTGGGATTTCCCTGATGTGCTGAAATAGTGCCAAGGAACCTCTGGGACTTGCCTTACCCAATCGCTTTATGTACACAGCCATCAGAGTTAACAGTCTTAACTGGATGTAGGCAGGTGCAAAATGGTGTGTGTGGGGGGAGAGTGTATTATCTGTGTTAGCTTTTGCTCAGCCTGGAATACAGCAACTTTATTTTTGGAGTTTGATCTAAGGCAAGGAGAGTACAGCATAACCTCCACTGAATATGCAGTGTTTAAAGAAAAAAAATATTGATGAAATAACTAATTTAATGTGCAGTTCATTGAGGAGAAGTGGGAAGTATAATCTTTTAATCTTTTTTTTTTTTCAATAATAGCAGCCTGGCTGTGTAAGAGTTCTGTTACAAAGATGCAGTTTCATGGTAGAATGAACAACGAAAAGGCAAATGATCATAAACAAAGCAATGAACTTTGCTGCTCATTGTCCGTGTTTTATCCAGCTGTCAGTAGATCTCTCTCACATAAGAGCTTGCTTTTTCCCCAGAGGGCTTTCCCTTCGCTTCCATTGTGCAATGATTTTTTTGGGGCGGGGGAGGGCTTTGAAATATACGTTTCTTCCAATGGAAGTGAATTCTGGATCACAAGTTCAGAAGAGGAGCAGAAGCAGGCTGATGAGATGGGCTCTGAGGCTAAATGCCCTGTTTAATCATACACAGATGCTTTAACTCTCAAAGTGCTAACAGAAGCTGTGAATTTGTGAAGATTTAATAGATTTGTGTGTGTCTGGATGATGGAGGGGAGCCATGCTTAGAGGTTAGTCCAGATTTCAGTGCCCTGTGCTCAAGGGAATGGCTGTGCTGGGGATAACTGGAGTCTTTCCAGAAAGCTCCCATTCCTCTCTTGTTGCAATGTCATTTCATTAAGTTTCCTCTCTATCCTAAGGTGTTGATGATACCATATTACAAAAGTACTTTGGGGGATCTTCTGGTCCATCTAACCATGAAAAAGATGGGTGTAATTACATGTTGGCCTTTTTGACACAAACTGTAAAATTGGCTATGTGGCAAATGAAAACCGATAGTCCTCTTTTCCTCCCCCCCCTTCCGTTTAGACGTTTTTCTTTGCTCACACTTAAGTGTATTTCAGAATTCCATAGTACATATTTAATTACATATATACTCCTGCTTGAAACAAAGTTATTACCTTAGTGCAAATATTGCTAACACTGACTCAGTGGAGTGAAGACAGGATGTCTGTCCTGGCTGTGGTGTGGGAGGACAAGTGTAGGCTTTGTTTAGGTAGCCCCAAAGCTGGATTGGTTTCCACGGTGGTAGATCCCTTACCAGTGGCCCAGTGGCCTAACCTGAAACTTTTCCTGGTGCACCCTGTTGATGACATCGTTGTAGGAAAGAGATGCACAGCTTGTGCCATGGCTGTGTTCTTACTGACCTCTACTCTGTTCTTCTAGGTGTTTTTTTCCTGCACGTGCAGTGCTGCTGTTGATGGGACCCTAAGGAAAAAGGCTGAAAAATTCAAGGCTTACCTAACGAAGAAATTTAAATGGGACTTTGAGGCAGAGCCTGATGACTGCGCTCCTGTAGTGGTAGAACTTCCTGAGACCATGCAGGTGGACTAAGCAAAATGCTCTCTTAGAAACAAACAGCTTTTTGAAATAACTCTTTCTCCACATCTACCCAGGAGGATTCCTAACTTTGCAAGACCAGAACTATTGGAGGAGTTTGAGTATTGTCACGTGGCTGCTTTGGACACCATTTTTTCT